ATGCACTCCCAACACATTCCCAGCCACCAAATAAATGAGGCATATATTTGACTTTAAGGTAAACACTGCAGTGTAATTGATGAGAAGGATTGTTGTAGTAAAGATAATTATTATAGTACTCATGAAAAATGGCCTATGTATGTCCATTTATTCATTTATTTGTTCAGCAAACATTTTCCTTTTTTTTATTTTTAGCAAACATTTTCAACAAACAACTCTCTGTAAACACTGTATAATGCTAAATACAGGAAGTAAAAAGATAAATTAAGATATAATATTATCAGGAGTACCTAGGTGGCTCAGTCGGTTAAGTGTTGGACTTTGGCTTAGGTCATGATCTCGCAGTTCATGGATTCAAGCCCTGTGTTTGGCTCTATGCTGACAGCTCAGAGTTCAGAGCCTGGAGCCTGCTTCGGATTCTGTGTCTTCCTCCCTATCTGCCCTTCTCCTGCTCACACTCTGTCTCTCTCTTTCTCTCTCTCTCAAAAATAAACATAAAAAGATATTTTTAAAGATATAATATTATATGAAAATGTAAAATTTCTCTGGAGTAATATCTACTATGAGAAAAGTCAAATGAAAAACAACAAAGTAAAAAAATTATCTGAGACATACAAGCTTGATAAAGGTTAATTTTCGTGATATACAAAACGTCTTTACAAATCAATAAGGAAAAGCTATGGAATGTAATGAAAAGGGCAATAATTTAAACAGACAACTCACAAAAAAATGAACTGTAAATAATTAATATTTAAAAATATGATATTCTTAATCTCACTTATAATGAAAGAAATAAAAATGTAAACAAGATCTTGTTACCCTCCATTAAATCACTAAAAATATTAATCAGTTTTCCACCTCCCAAGGTTGGCAACACAGAGGGAAATAGACACTCTCACACCTTACTGGTAAAATAATAAAATGCTACAGCACCTATAGGAAATTAGCCTTTTGTCTGTTGCACTTTGGGAAGTAACTAAATATTGGATGAATAAAAAAAAAAAAAGTAAGTCTATTCTCACAGATGACATACTCATATGCATAATTTGATATACTCTTTTAGATACTAACCAAATTAACTCTGAACAATCGAATTAACTTCTGACTTTCAGATTCAGTACTTTAGCCGAGCCAAAATTAGAAAGTCCAATCTTGGTGTCATGACTTGAACAGGTTCCAGTAAAGTTTTGCAGAGATCACAGCCTCATGGATTATCAAGAATGTGAAAGACACCCTTACCACCTCCCCCAGGCAGAAGGAGAAAGTAGATAGACTACAAATAGAACTGACCTGCCAATAGAATCAGTTTCTGCAGAGGTAGCAGCAGCCTGATGCCCAATATCTCAAGCCAAATGTGATCTTGCCTCACACAGTTTGAGTGTACTGGAGGGAATCATCCAGGTAATAACTGGCAAAGCCTGAACTAAGATAGGAGCATAAGCCATACCTACAAGAAGATGGATTGGGTAGATACCAAGGATTTGGTCACTGTATGCACGTGAGGATAAGTATCACGAGGCATATAAATGACTCCCAAGTCTTGGCTTGGGAAATTGGAAGATAATAGTGCCATTGTCCTATAAAATGAATGGAAGAAAGCATTGCTTAGAAGTTTGTCTCTTAAGCCAGAACTCATGAGTTGGACTCCAAATTCTATTGGATCCCAGAGATGTGACTCTAGCCAAACTACTTACTTTCTCTTTGTCTTAATTTTCTCAATTCTAAAATATGAATAATAATAATAATAATAATAATATCTACTTCATAGAATTGTTATGAGGATTAAATAAGTTAATATCTCAGTGCTTAGTATAGAATGCTTAGAACAGTACCAAGCACATAGAAAGTGTTATATAATAGTTAGATTATTAATAGTTTAAGAACTTAAAATACTTATCTTTGTTGAAAACTTATACTAGTGATGTGCCTAGATTCATCCTAAAGACCACAGACAATGGACATGATGATAGAAGCTGCTGACACACTCAGGAGACCATGGCTCAGTTGGAATTTATTCTCACTCAGTCAAGGTAATGAAGAGAGTGTGACAATGTGAACACACCTTTTGTGAAAAAAAAGCTCTCTTCCTCCGTGATCTATGATATCTCTTATAGGCAGGGAGTATCACTACTTCCCTAAATGACGCTGTTTCAGACAAATGGTACATTTAGGATGCCCTAAATATCCTATGAACATTACCAACCCCATATTCTTCCTCACATTTGTGTCTATCCTCTTTATCATTTACAGCCTGAAATCTTAGTGAGACTCTTCCCTCTTTACTATTTTATGGCAAAATGCTCTCCCTTGCTAACCTTATAGCAGTAAGAAATTTTATATTATTTCATCCAGCCATTCTTATAGGTATCTATCTTTATTTCATACACTATTCTTTCCTAAGTGATTTAAAAAAAAAAAAAAACAGGGATAGGGATGGAGGAATAAACCATCTTTACTAGTTTGCTACCCTGTGTCAATTTCTACAGTATAATGCACGGTAGGAATTGCATAAATACATTATTATTGGTTGAACCATAGTTGTTGTTTCCCTCAGGAGAAAGGAGAATGACAAAAACAGAAGGTAGGTTGAGATTTAGTTGAAGATTCCAGAATTAAAACAAATGTCACTAGAGACAACTTCTAAAGGGTTTGCCCTTTATTCAGTATAAGTTAGCTCTTAATGTGACTCAGTTACAAACCTCAAAGTCATTTCTTTCTCATAGACTTCACTTCCAAGCTCATGAATTTCCTCTCCATCCTGCCCCTAGTCATCACCCTCAGGAGCTTCAACATCTATATTGACCACTTCCCAAACACTTGGCCTCATGGTAAATATCTTTACCTACTTAGCCCTAGAAATCTTCACTCATTCTTCATTTTATTGCTAATACATTTTATCACATCAACTCCCTTCATTAACCTAAGATAACCTGGTAGTTGTCACACAGTAATGGTTAAAAAATATGGAATGTAGCCGAACCTGCTGACCCCAATCTTTGGGAACTTACTAGCTATGTAATACCAAACAAGTTTTAGGTAACTGTTGAGAAACAATTCTCCATTGCAACCTTATGCAATCTGACATCAGATTTTGCTCTGCACTGTCTCTTCAAAGATGTTAGTATAGCAGATAGCCTTGGAAGATATAAAGAGCATCTCCCTCTGATGTGGAAAGCAGATTTGATTTGTCTGCTGACCAAGATAATGTCTCCTTCCAGGGAAAGGTTGGGCAGGTTTGCTAGCAGCCTCTATAAGATTGGGGTTTCCTAAGCTTAGGGTTTCTCTGTAGTGACCCAAACCCACTCTATGCAGCATTCACCAGGGCCACCCTGTAACAACCCAATGGGACTTGAGGGGCAAAGGAACATGAAGCTCATGCCACTTTCTCTACCATGAGTAATGAAGTCATTTGTCTGTCTCTGACCCAGGAATCTTTTGTCACCTGCTAGCATCTATGAACAGGTGGCTGGCTAATTTGTTAGCTTTCAAGAAAGGTAAGATCTCAGATTTTCCACAGTTCTTGATAATAACCTCTTTATGCTTCAGTTTCCTTTTACTCAGCTATAAAATGGAGAAAAGATGCCTATCTCACAGAGTCAGTATGTTAATTAAATGGAATAATGATATATATATACAATGCTTAAAACCAGTCTGAGCCTCATAGCTGGACTCAATAACAGTTTTTGGTGACTCTTGACTGCCTCCTTGCCAAATGGCCTGCTCTCTAGGTCAGTTCTCACTGATGGCTTTGCAGAACTGACAACATATATCATCCTCCTCTTGAAAGTTCCTATGCCTTAGACTGTGACTCTGCACTAAACTGGTTTCCTTCTTACAATTTTAACGCTTCTAGTTCCTTCACACACACATACACACACACACACACACACACACACACACACACACACACACACACACACACACACACACACACACACACACACACACACAGAATTAACAAAAGGAGAGGGGCACCTGCTTTGCTCAGTCCGTTAAGCATCTGACTTTGACTCAGGTCACGATCTCATGGTTCATAGGTTCAAGCCCTACAGTGGGCTCTGTGCTGACAGCTTAGAGCCCGGCACCTGCTTTGGATTCTGTGTCTCCCTCTCTCTCTGGCCCTCCCCCACTTGCATTATGTTTCTCTCTCAAAAATAAAGAAAAATTTAAAAAAATTTTTAAGTAAAAAAAATTAAAAACAAAAGGAGAATGTTTTGAAAATGTCCTAAGACAGACCTAAATTTCCACAAAATACTACTTAACAATGCAACAACAGCAGCCAATCAGTTTTTCTAAAATGGAGGAAGGGAAAAGCAGTAATCAGAATGAAGGGATCAAGAGTATTGAGATCCTTATCAAAAGGAGATAAGTTATAAGAAACCTGTAGGATTCTGAGTCATTAAGTTATGTAGATGGCCAATATTTATTACTCTACAATACCCAATCTTAATTAAATATTTGCAAAAAACTACTGGAAAGAACACAAGAGAAATGGTGGCCATAAGCTACATGGCCAAGGGACCAATGAAACACAATGTGGAATGATGGAACTTCAGTGTGGAAAGAAGACAAATTTTTACCATCAACAGATCCCAGGGAAACCCAGTTCCAGCCTCCAGGTTTTAATAGTTGTAAGAACTTGGATGAGTTCCTTGGCCTCATCAAACATCAGTTTATCCACCTCACAAATACGAGAAGACCATTCACCTTGAAGAGCTTTTCATGGGTTTCCTCAACAAATCAGTTCTATGATTATTGCAGAACTGAAGAACTGAAAAATTACTCCTTCGGAAACTAATAAAAGAGCTGAGGGACATTTCTGAATATTTCCCAAAAGAACACAAAATTTTGTAATGTGGTATTATACTTGCCAAATATAGCATTGTAGAACTTAAACTCTGGCTTCACAAAAACTCAAGGTACAGAAAATTCCTTAGTGTCAGACTTCTATAACTCAGTGTCAGTCTTAGATAACCACTAATGTGATTTGATAAACTTACCTGTAACAAAAAATCAAAGAGTGCCAGCTTAGACCACTCATGATGATGTATTTCAGTACAACCCCATTCAGGTTTGGGTACTCGGCCATTCTGCCAGCACTTCTGTTTCAATGACTGTTGGTAAGTTCCCCAGGTGAGCTTAACAGAAGAGTGAGTCTCATTACTTGTTGGAGATAAAGATGAGTCCCAGAGAATGACAGGACAGGGGCGGCCATCTACAGAATCCAAAAAACAAACATACTTTAGCATGATATTAACTCAGTATGTGCCTTCAGACAGTCACTCATAGCTTTAATCTCTCACCTACCAAATGCAGGAGTTTGAGTAGATGATATTTCATGGTCCTTGCTGGACAATGAAAGGAAAGCTTTTTGAAACAGGACGCTTTATAGATGTGGCCCAGCAATAAGCCACTAATCACCAATAACAACGTCCTCTGGTTAATGTGGTTTTACTCCACATCTAAAAGCCAGCTACCACGAAAAAGGAAAGAAGCCAGGCATTTATAATTGTCTATTCAATGTCTGAGTGGAGCTGCTATTTGTAATAACAACTGTCTGATTTTCTGAGGCCACAGAAAAAGAATTTTTAGAAGTCGCAAATTTAAAAGTGAAATTGTTTGGTTCACATCAGTCACTATATTCTCCAAAGACACAAAAAAGGAGCAAGATGGAAATTTTTTTCTTTTCTGATGGAAACAGCACTCTTCATAATGGACGTTTATTCACACATAACCTCACAAAGTGCTTTTAAGCAAATGTCATTTCTTCAACTGCATCTGTATAGATGATGTTTTCAAAAAAATCTGTCACCCTAATTGCTTTTGTCTCACTCTTGATAGTTTAGAAATTCCACTGCTAAACTATATAAAGAATGATGAGCCTAAGTGAAGTCATCATAAATGGAAAAGACCATGAAGGGTCCATTAAATGACACTTCAAGCTTAAAACCAATAACATCGCTTTCAAGCCCCCGTTTCTGCCAAGTAAAGTCACTGAGAGATGATGTTAAGTGATTTTGCTTATCACTTAAAAATAAGAATTATGCTCTTGGGAAAAAATAAATAAATAAGTCACAAAGTGCTAAAAAAGCCCACTTAACTCATTCTTAACAGGCCTGGACAAGAGAAGCCTCTGAAATTATGACTGGAATGTCTAAGACACATCACAGGAATTTTTAAAAGCCCTTTCACATAACCTGAGAGATACTCAATCTATAACTGTATTCCTTTTTGTTAAAGACATTTGTTTTACTATCTAGCTTGTTTGCCTTCTTGTAGAGTTCCTATGTCTGTGTGGTCTTTACTACAGGAAACCATCATCTTCTACAACCTCTCTTGAATTTGCTATTACAGTGACCTCAGTAATGTTAGTGGCATTCACTTAATCATTCTGATAACCTGCATTCCAGTTTAGCTCAAAAAAAAGTCTTCCTCCATTTAGCCTGGCAATTTAGTTTAGACCTGGGTATGTAAGAAGTCCTTTAGATTTTGGAAATGATGTAACAGTCACTGACACACAATTTAAAAAAAAATAAATAAACAACATAGATCCAAACTAAGGAACTTCATCTGTAACATCAATCTCCCCTTTTTATTTCCTTTGACTTTCCTAAATGATTTGGGGGCTGCTGGGACCCAACTGTCTTCTTAGATAGAAGATAAATATAATTTTAAATGAATGTACCCCAAATACTGCACCAATGTAAAAAATCATAGTAATAAAATTCACATAAAAGCAGTCCATCATGCAGTGGGAGACATGTAGAGACCAGTGTAATCAAATATGAGTGGAAGACACAACATAGCTTTCAAAGACACACGTACTTTAGATTTCTAAAGATAAACACCAAGAAGTTCTAGCCATCAGTGTCCTTAGATAAAAGTTACACAGATAGCACTTTAGATTCTGAGGGCTAGGAAGTACTCAAAAGGGAGTTGAAACCTAATACTGAAGCTCAACAACACAAATCAATACAGGAGACAGGCCAGCAGGTTCCTCAGCAAGTCACAGGAGGCCCTCAGAGAAACACGGAAATGATCTACATAAACAATTGGAACAGTTAACCTTCTGGGCTCTTTTCCTTTCCCTTAGAAACATTTGTTTCTTATTTTTAAAGCAATTAAAAGCAAATCTACTCATTTCAGGAAATGTGGGAAAACATCAAAATGTAAGGCTAAGAAAACAAAAATCATCTATAATCTTCTGTCCCAGTAATTGGTTATATTATTTATATACTGACCTCTGGTATTTTCCCCATCCCTTTCTTTTCACCTAAAAAAATGGAAATTGTTTTTAGAAATTTAAGAAGTATAGCTTATGATCAGAGCCTAGACTCTGGAATCCAACAGATCTTTTGAATTCTGGTCACATTACTTCTTAGCTTTGTAACATTAGACAAGTTAAGCAACCTCTCTAAGCCTTGCTTTTATCCTCTGAAAAAAAGGGGGGTTGGGGGGTGGCGATAACACGCCTTCTAAAACTGGCTTTTAGGATGCATTTAAAGTCCTCAACCTGATGCCTAACATATATGCACATCCCAGAAAGCTTTTGCTGTAACTATTATTATTATTACACGTTATTACACATATACATTATACAATTGCACAGTTCATCGGTCTTCGGCTGCCTTTATTTGTTTTTTGAGTATCTACTGTATGCCAAGCATTGTTCCAGAAACTCCAAATAAGAAAATTAATAAATAAATGCCCATTTCTATTTATTTTCTTAGGGTTTACATTTCCACCAGGAGAAAGAGGCAAACAGGCAAAGAAAATAAACATTTGGGACTGTCTTGTATATACAGTGTGTCACAATTGTTTTACTAAATATTTTACCACAAGAGTTTCTCTTATAATTAAATATTTTTAAGTACCATCACTTTAACTGCCATACAATAATCTAGCCCAGTGGTCAACAAACTGTCAAAGGTAGATAGTAAAGTATTTTAGGCTTTGACAGCCATCCAGTCTCCATCACAACTATTCCCCCAGCAAGTGTTCAACTCTGCTATAGCACAAAAGCAGTCAAAAACAATATATCAGCAGATGGGTGTGACTGTGTTCCAATAAAACTTTATTATTGACATTGAAATTTGCGTTTCATAGAATTTTCAAGTGTCATAGAAATGTTATTATTCTTTTGATTTTTTTCAACCATTTAAAACTGGAGAAAGCATTTGTAGCTCACAGGGCATTCAAAACAGGTGAGGGGCCAGCTTTGGCCCACAGGCTGTAGTGAATCAGCCCCTGATCTAGTCTATGAGCATACTGTATTTCATTTACCATTTCTCTACTTTAGCACATCGAATTATTTGAATGATACATTTTCTAAACTATTATTTTAAAAGCTGTTCTCAATCTTCCAAAGGGAGCTTTAAGCTGATAGGAATAATTCATTTTCGATTAGTATTCCGGGTTTTTCTCCACATCCATTCACGTCCCCTCAGCAAAATATTTTGAGTACTGACTATAACATAAAAACATTCCATCCTGCTCTGCTGGAAATCCATGCACCTCAGGCAAGGGGGATTTCTAGAAAGCAAGAAGAAAGTAGGATGAGTAGTACCTCTCAGGCTGAGCGTGGGTGGGGTGGGTCCCATCCACAGACTGGTCTTCTTGCTGAGTCTCTGTGCATATGGCCCTTGAGATAACAGTAGTCAGTATGGCTCCAGATCTCAGGGCTATGAGTACTACTGTGAAAATAATTCCACTTTTTATAAAATATGGCTGTTAAAAGAATTAAATGAACTTTGATAGATCTGAAGGGATGACAGAAAAATAGCCTCTGAAAACAGTAAACTGGTTAAAGCAACTTACCCTGAAGTGTTTCAGAGATGAGGGACATTCATCTCTTCACATTCAGGTTTGTCAAAATGATGCAGTACTGTACTCTCTAGAGAAATCTTAACAGTGAAGAGATAAAATTTTAACTGTCAGAGTGGTGAGAAAGCAGGTTTTCAAAGATATGTGGGTGTTCGTGTGAATTAAAGGTTATACAGCTGCCTTAAAAATGAGACTTGCCAGAAAACTTATTTTTTTCCCCAAAATCTGAATATCTCCTCTACTGCTGGTGTTCTCCCAAGTCATTCTTTATTCGAAAGACAAAGAAGACATTCTTCTGAAAAGATGAACATGAAAATTCACCAAGAATGTGCCATATACAATCTCCTTTGCCTGGATTTATGAAATACCCTCCACTTGGAACATTGACTGCCTAGTTTTGTTGAACTAAAGGTGAATGCTAAGCACGCTGGGTCAAGTTGTGAGTATCTGTCTGCATTTCTCCCTGGGCAAAAATTAGTAAAGATGTCCTGAGTTCTGAAATCAAAAACCCTTTCTACCATATGGGCCAAGTTCCAAGACTGCTCCAAGGCTCCCCGCGAACAAGACAAAAAGGGAAGTAGCAATTCAGGTTCAGAGTCCATCATTAAAAATGACTACAAAACCTATCAAAGAAAACAAAGGCCAATCAAAACTTGAGACTCATCTTTGTTATAGGAAATGAATTCTGCCAGATTCCACCACAACTATCCACAACGCATTGAAGACAAACCTCAATGTCTTGGATCTCTAATTGCTAAAAGCAACTGTTGGTGCTGGTGTAATGCCAATGATGATGTAGCAGGTGTCTAGTTGTTAATGATCCCTTAAGTACTGGTTGCTCTAATTTTTTTATCCCAGTAGGGTTTTGGCAATTAAAAATATTAGGCTGAAGGGAAAAAGCAGGTAAGATCTCTTGGCTTAGAGTTGGTCAATGTGAACAAGTCAGTGAATGTGAGGGAGGATAAAACAGGAACACAAGATTCTGGGACAGCCTTGAGGAAGGAGGAAATTTGGAGGATTCGATGAGTCCTTCTGCCCAGGGTTTCAAATGTTGTTAATTTACTTATTCAAAACACAAATTTTTACAATGGTCCCTCAATTGTCCTCAAATAGACCTATTAGTTCATGGGTTTCAGACAGAAAGGATTCAGCGAGGCATAGCAAACACAGAGGACTTGCAAGGTCCCCAGGTCAGGCAAGGCCCAGGCCTCAGACAGTTTAGAGTTTAGTGGAGAAAGACAAGTGTGCACACAAATGACAACCAAACAAAAATATCTGCCAGTTGAATGAGTGTTTGAAGGGAACGAGTGAAGGACTAACATAAAGACTGAGCTTTCAGTGCAAAGTTAAGAAATGAAGAAAGGCTGTACCCTAGAATAGCTGTGTGCTGAA